ACACAGTGTAAATAACCTGCAGTCCCAACGTGTCAGTGTCAGGGGATATTTAACCCTGGCTGTGAATCAAAAATGAGTTCCTGGTTTTGATTCCACAGCATGAAACAACAACAACACTCCTGCTGTCACAACAACACTTAGATGCTGCAGATTCCAGAGAGAAACTGTCTGTGAAGGTTCTCAGTCATCCAGTCAAAGGAGCTTGCAAAGAAAAGCGCCTGGACTTCTTTGAGTTACTTGAAGACGTTTCACCTCTCATCCATGACAGATTGATGAGAGGCCAATGACAGTTTCTGTCAAGTGCAGCAAAACAAAGATTCCAGAGTAATAACATTAATAATAATAAGATAACAAACAATGACAAAGAAAATGCTGGTGAAGACAATCTTGTTATTCCAGTTACACAGTGATGTCACAGCCTAAATATTTAGTAACATGATAATAAATGAGTCTGGTTATCAAACAGACCCTCAACATCTATATAACCTGCACTATACTAATGTAACCAGCAGTTTCCCAGAATACATGGAGGTGACTCTGGTGCCTGAGCTCCTTTAACAGACCTGAGGTTTTCTGCCTGAGCATTACGGTCTCTTCATATTTGGGATCTGGCAGCGGTTTCGTTGTTGCTTCATGCCGAAGCAAAGTGACGTGTTTTTTTCTCTTTGGAGGAACACGAGAAACGTGTCGTTTAAAAGATTTATTTGCTTCAGCAGTTGCAAGTTTACAGCGCTGCACCTCAGTGTGAAATCAGCAGTGTTGGGCAAGTTACTCTGAAAAAGTAATTAATTATAGTTAAAAGTTACTTCTTCAAAAAAGTAACTGAGTCACAAGATTCTAAAAGTAATTAATTACTTGAAAAGTAACTTAAAAAAAAAAGTTTAACCCTCTGGGTTAGACCCTAACCCTCGTTTAACCTCACATGTCTGAATTTACAGTCATGTTTTCATTGTGACAAACTGTGTTAACACAACTGATCTAAAATCAGTCAAAGAACATGAAATCAGAGCAGAAAAAGTTATATTTTTACTGTAACAACCACAAACATGTTTAATGATCATATTTCATAACTTTAAATGCAAATATAAATTGTCAGTTTTAATT